TCTAAACAGTAGGTACTATGAAGAATAGTAGTATCTGCTGTCACTAAATGTAGACGGGTTATGTTATTTGCAACTGCTACCATGCTTAATCTACATGCACTGCAGATGTCATAAAATATTATATAAAGTACAAAATATTAAATCCACTAATGGATAAAATTTAGGTGGATTGGCGCTAAGTAACAGATGTGATTGCAACTACACCCAGTGCATAAAATCACTCAAAAGACTCTAAACACATAGATAAAAACAAACAAGGTGTGGGGGGAGCAAGAGATATGCAAGACTTCCTGATCGTTCTGTAAAAACAATATAAAAGCAAACATAGCGTGATATTGTATGAAAATAAAGATAAATCAATTATAGAAGTAATTGGTCACTCGCACTTTCCAGAGCCTCAACAATCAGACTCTGGCTATGTAGGCAGTTGAATAATTTGCTTATTATTGCTATCAGCTCCACTCCTCAATATACTTCTTTCCCAGGTAGGGTATAAATTAGAAGATATCCAACGAAGTAGCAATGAAGAAATTTTACTTAAAATAAAACAAATGTATAAAAACAACAGCAGCACAGCTGTAAATCAATAAAAGCATAAGTTCATAAACACAACGCCTATAAACCTTAACGGTCTTCCTCAGGTGTATAGTAGGCTTCCCTCGGTACTGGCTTTTATTCCATGTTTCTGGAAATTACATTTTGCACCATTCGGTGCTCGATGGTCACTTCCGCATTCATTGTGTTTGTCATTGAATCCTGCATGATGACGGTAATGAGTGTGCTGGCATCATAGCGTCATAGCATCATGATGAAATTGACGTCTATGTCATTCCATAAGTAGAGATACCAGAAGCTCATAAGGCACTATAATAAGAGCGAGCAGAATTGTCCATCAAGTAAGATTATCCTCAAAAAACTTTAATCAGATAAAAGGGGACTTAATCTATTAAAAACATATACTTAAATGGACACTATAGACACCTGAACAACTACAACTTAATATAGTTGTTCAGGTGAGATCTATAGCTCCCTGCAGGCAATCTAATGTAAACACTGTATTTTCTATGAAAATACAGTGTTTACATTGATTGATAGGAATAACTCCAGTGGCCGTCACTCAGACGGCCACCAGAGGGACTTCCTGTCATGTATGGCCCTAAAAAGGCCATGTACACATCAGACGTATTCAAATATATTTTGATGAAATAGGGGGCGTGGCTTCACAAGGCTTCCGGCGCCGGAACGAGGTGGGTAAAAAGGGCTGCCTGGAGTGTCCCTTTAATATAAAAAATATTAATAACAAAAATGGAACTACATTCCAATTATTAATAGTACAATGTAATACAGAGTAAATATTCATAACAAAATACATAAGTGTATTGTTAGGGAGAGCAATAATAAGAGAAATAAATCAATAAAAATTGTAAATATAATAAAAATGCATAGATATATGTTAGTACATATATATAAAAAAGGAGATATGTAAAAAAATGTAATAAAAAATGTAAATAAAAAAATGTTAAACAATATATGGTTATGCAAAAATAGGTGTAGACAACTAGAAAAGTTAAATGAGTGCAGATATCTCAAAGTTGACGTTGAGTCCTTTGGGAGACAAATATCCACTTCATCTCACAAAGGCTCAACGTCGACTCCAGATTTCTAACTCTCCAGTGGTTTTGTTTGATTTAATATCACAAAATTAAAGTCCTTTGGGATCTCCACCGTGGCAATTTAAAAAGTGTAGGGATACATTATGATTTAAAAATACCTCTCCTGATATTGTAAATATGTGAACGTATACTTGTTTTCAGAAACCTAGAAGTCTTTCCAACATATTGTAGTCCACAAGGACACGTGAGCAAGTACACAACACTTATGGAGTGACGTAATAAATTAATCAATGTTAAATAATTTGGATCCTATTCGGTGTTTAAAAGTATCCACTTTTTTATTTTTAATTTTCCAATTTTTGCATCCCATACATTCACCATAATGGTGGAACCCTTTATTTATATTTTTATGGGTTTTAAAAAGTTAGTGTTACATACACTAAAAGTTAGTGATACATCTATATAACTTGAAGTTAGTATCTGTCTTGGATTTCTAACTCCTCTAAATACTACTTTAGGTCTTTCCTTTATAAACTGTGAATTTTTTGTGTAGAATACTCTTTAATTGTTTTTGGTCTTTACTGTAATAAAAAAAGGTATTTTGACATATTCTTCTCTTGTGATGTTTTGTTTATATGTAAGTAAAGATTCTCAAATTTTCTGGATTTCATTGTCTAAATGATCTCTAGTATATCCACGATCCAAAAACAGTTTTTTAAGAAATTCTGCTTGATTGTTAAATAAATTTGGATCTGTGCAATTCCGCCTCAACCTAAGGAACTGGCCCCTAGGGATATTCTCCAACCAAGGTCGGAAATGGAAACTCTCTTTGTGGATGTAACTATTTACATCCACCTTTTTGAAGAAAGTGCATGTATTAATTTAATTATGCTTGATGTAAATTTCTAAATATTTTTTCTTTACTTATTTTCTTTACCTATTTCTTGTGGATATTCCATTGGTTATTGTTTAAAAAGTAAAAAAAAAACAAATCTAAAACTGGATATTTGTAATAATTTTCTTTTACATATCTCCCTTTTTTATATATATTTACTAACATATAGCTATGCATTTTTATTATATTTACAATTTTTATGATTTATTTATCCTCTTATTATTGATCTCCCTAGCAATACACTTATGTATTTTGTTATGAATATCTACTCTGTATTACTTTATACTACTGATAATTTGAATGTAGTTTGATTTTTGTTATTAATATTTTTTTATATTAAGTATATGTTTTTAATAAATTAAGTCTTTTTTTTTAATTAAAGATTTTGAGGAGAATCTTACTTAATGGACAACTCTACCCGATCTTATTATGGTGCCTTATGAGCTTCTGGTATCTCTACTCATGGAATGACATAGACGTCAATTTCATCATGATGCAATGACGCTGTTACGCTATGATGCCACCATGCTCATTACTGTCATCATGCAGGATTTAGTGACGAACTGAATAAATGCAGAAGTGACCATTGAGCACCGAATTGCACAAAATTTAATTTCTGGAAACATGGCTTAAAAGCCAGTACCGAGGAAAGCCTACTACACACCTGAGGAATACCATTAAGGTTAAAACGCATTGTGTTTATGGACTTGTGTTTTTATTGATTTCCAGCTGTGCTTCTGTTATTTTTATACATTTGTTTTATTTGAAGTAAAATGCCTTCATTGCTACCTTGTTGGATATCTTCTACTTTATACCTTACATGGGAAAGAAGTGTATCAAGGAGTGGAGCTGATAGCCATAACAAGCAAATTATTCAACTGCCTACATAGCCAGAGTCTGCTTGTTGAGGCTCTGGAAAGTGTGAGTGACCAATTACCTCTATAATTGATCTATCTTGATTTTATATAGTATCATGCTATGTTTGCTTTTATACTGTTTTTACAGAATGATCAGGAGGTCTTACACTAATAAGTATTTATCACTGTGTGCCGTTGATATCTCTTGCACCCCCCCATACCTTGTCTGTTTTTATAAAATATTATATACTTGGAAGAGTAGCAAAGAGGAAGATGGAATATAAGATGAAGGTTGCCTAAACTGGAAATGATTGTGACGAAATTGTTAATTATTATCTTCAGAGTTTATTTGGTCTAGCCACTAGGCTCCATCTTTTTCATCTAGTTTTGAAATAGTCATATGAATATCACTATTAAGTCAGCTCATGATGGCATTTCAAGCAAGCTGATATTTGTACAGTAAAGATGTAGATGAAAGTGTACTCTAATTACCATGCTCATGTACCTGGTCAGTGACAGTTTTCAAGTAACAAAGAAATGATCTAACCAATACTTTCAAATTCAAACACACAATGTTACATACGGAGCAAATTACTAATCACAAAGCACAGGAGAGCTACCTCATCTCTTTCTGTCCTCTTATACCAGGAGTTGGTTTCATAGAACAGGAGGGAGACTTTCATTACTCCTGTGCTATGATACTCACAAATCCTGCTAAGTAAGCTGTGTCAAATCCCTGTCACAGAAACATGTTCAGAGATTAATTCCCTCCCATCTCATCTCTCATAAAACATTTGCAGATGGTCCCCAGTCTTCCTGATATTAATACTGTTCATGCTGACCTCAACATACAGTCAGGAATACATATCCCTCTAGATCAAATAGGCCTGGGACTAGAGCCTGCATTGGATAACAGGACAGATTCAGAGATGTAAACTTCCTGGTTTCATACCTTTGGAAGTCCAGGCCTACTCCCTTGGAAGATCAGATCATCTAAATGCAACTCCTTGTCTTGAGCAACTGATTCAGCTCAGTTTCAGGAATCAGGAATCTTGTTCAAGTACTTCTGTTCTTGTACATGTATCTTATCATGTTGCAACTATGTGTTTGTTAGTACATCTTTTGTACAGCCATTCATAATATGTTAATGCCTGATAAATAATAGTAAGCACAAGTCAGTACTTAATAAAATGTGGATTTGACATAACTGTGATGGCAAAATGACTATTTTTCAAACAATTCCTGATAGTAATTAGCCTTGGCAATATGAGCATTTACAAACTTTGTTCTTTTCCATCCTTTTGTGGAGATATGAATCATATTATATAACATCTAATCATAATATCCACACATCTGAGAGATACATATTTTCATTAATTTCCTTATCTGCTAATGTAACATTTTAAAATGTATGCCATATATCAGCTGATAAACTGACATAATTATCTCACAGGTGTCAATAATAATGTATGTCTCATTTCATTTTTTAATGATTTAACAGGAATAGATGGTATTTACAATATAATTTAATCAATTTCCTTGATGTAGAACCTAACCAATTCTTTGAGATTGAAAAAGGAGCTGTCATTTATAAAACATTGCTATAGTACTAAATAGAAAATATGAAAATGGAGTCTCATACATGTCTACCCACATACATAATACAGTGGTAAGATCTGAAAGATTATAGTTACTGGAATTTTTAAGAATCTTTGTTGTAATGCCACAAGGTTTATACCTGTAAAGATTCTTATGTCCAGTTTTACAATAATAACTATATTAGTAAGCTGGCCTTCCTTAAAGGGCTATTGATTTGATAATAAAAACAGCTTTTTATTAAACAAGAAAAATACAACTTTTGCACTGACATATTGATGATTATAGCGTGTTACCTAATTGTATGTGTCATCTAATGGCATGACTACCTACTAATAATCCATAATATAAATAAAAAAATTTAAAAAGCGTAGCAATTGTTAGGATGCTCTGTTCTGACTTATCTAAAGAGAGAGGGATTTATAGGGGAAAACAAAACAATTGTTACTAATCTAGCAACGAATAAAGATATCTCCTGCAGTTAGTGTTTCAGTTGAATAATAAATAAATCATGTATCTAAATTGAACCATTTACAAGAGTACACACTCCATGATTAAATTGGCCAACAGACCTTTGTAAAAAAAATACCAATACCAATCTGAATCAAAGTCCTTATCCAAGAAATATCACATGTGTAGATGAAAGCCATCATGCACCTACATGAAAAAAACCTCAATGCGTTTTGCCACCCAAAGAGGGCTTACTCGTAAGCAGACATCAAAATAAAAAAAGTCTGGCAGAATATAAAGTCAGTCAGGAAGTGCTGTCTAATAATTACAAATTAGCAGTCTATTAACTTGCTTCACTACCAAATGTTGGTAGTGGAATATCTGGAGCTCAAGTGCTCCCAAGATTTTTAAAGTGACAATGCCAAATTGGCTGGTTACCTTTATAAGGATGGACATTGACATTTTTACTTTCCTTAAAGGAGAGAAATACTTTAACCTCCTGGGCATTTACTAAAATGTTTGTGGATTCAAATAGTAGAGGTCTTGTTAGTGACAGCCAGGAGATGTTTTTTATGTGCTTCTTCAAGGCTTAGAAGGTTGTCCTACATATTGGACCATTCAAAGCTTACAGGTTATTGAAAAAAACTTTTTATGATCTCCTAATCATCCTTTTAAGTTCTAAGTAGTATGCTATAGAAATGTATTAATTCATTTAGAGGGGCCCTGACCCAAAGAACCTGTACCAAGTATGATTGGCCTGATGGACAGATAACAGATTTGTGGACCTCTGGTAATAGGTAAGTAGTCACAATCTTGGGTTTCGCTAGACTTAGATTTTTTTCTTTCTTTCATTATTATTATTATTACTGGTATTTATATAGCGCCAGCATATTCCTTAGCGCTTTACAATATTACCTCTGGTAATAGGTAAGTAGTCACAATCTTGGGTTTCGCTAGACTTAGATTTTTTTCTTTCTTTCATTATTATTATTATTACTGGTATTTATATAGCGCATATTCCTTAGCGCTTTACAATATTATCAAAGGGGGAGATTTAACCATAAATGAGACAATTACAAAAACTTACAGGATAAATATGCTCAAACAAGCTTACCATCTATAGGAGGTGGGGCATGAAATAAAACAGGACATGAGGTAGCAATCAAACAAGGAGGAGTGGAGGAGAGACTAGAGTGCTGCCCTTTAGGAGAGAGCAAAGGACAGGTACGTGAGGTAGAGGTTATCTGTGAGGCCATAAGCTTTCCTAATAGATGGGTTTTGAGTCACTTTTTAAATGATTGAAGACTAGGGGAGAGCTTGATGGTCGTAGTCAGGCTATTCCAAAGGAAAGTAGCCACCTGCGAGATGTCCTGCAAGCGTGAGTTGGCTGTACAGGTGCGAGCAGTGGACAGGAGAAGGTCATGGGCAGAGCAGAGAGACTGACAAGGGGCATAACTGTGGATCAGTGAAGGGATATAGGAGGGTCTAGAATTGGTTAGTGCTTTATAGGTGTGGATTAGTACCTTGAATTGAGTCCCATAGGATACTGAAAGCCAATGTAAGGACTGACAGAGGGGAGAGCTGTGAGAGGAGTGACAGAGAGGAAAATAAGTCTAGCTGCAGCATTCATTACAGACTGTAGCCAGGCAATACGAACTCTGGGAAGACCTTTCGGAGAGAGTTACAATGATCCATGCGAGAGATTACTAGAGCATGGACAAGCTCCTTAGTAGCATCCAGCGTTAGAAAGAGGAGGATGTGGGCTATGTTTTTAAGGTGGAATCTGCAGGATTTGGTAACAGACTGGATGTGAGGCTCAAATGTTAGGCCAGAATCAAATACAATGCCAAGACAGCCCGCTTGCAAAAATGGGCTGATGCAGGTACCACCAACTTTAAGGGAGAGCGAGAGAGGAGTATCATTATTGGTAGGAGGAAAGACAAGAATTTCAGTTTTAGAGAGATTGAGTTTCAAAAACCAGGAGGACATCCAATCAGAGATGGAAGAAAGGCAAGCAGTGACATGTTGCAGAACAGCAGGGGAGAGGTCTTGGAAGGAGAGGCATATCTGAAAGTCATCAGCATACAGGTGGTATTGAAATCCAAATGAGGTGATAAGTTTTCCAAGAGAGGTGTATAAAGAGAAAATAGAAGGGGACCAAGTACAGAGCCTTGGGGGACTCCAACAGAAACAGGACGGAGACAGAAAGGTATCATTAGAAAAGGAGACACTGAATGAGCATTGGGAGAGATAGGAGGAAAACCAAGAAAGGACAGTCTCACAAAGACCGAGAGACGAAGAGTTTGGAGAAGGAGAACATGGTCAACAGTGTCAAAGGCAGCAGAGAGGTCAAGAAGAATTAGTATGGAGTAGTGCCCTTTGGATTTAGCTGCGATTAGGTCATTAGTGACTTTAATAAGAGCATGCTCAGTAGAGTGGAGGGGGCGGAAGCCAGACTGAAGAGAGTCAAGAAGAGTTGGAATTGAGGAAACAAGTCAGATGGAAACAAGTCTTTCCAGAAGCTTTAAGGAAAAAGGGAGCACGGATATGGGACAATAGTTAGAAGGGGAGGACGAGTCGAGATGTTTTTTTTTAAGATGGGTACTACAGTACCATGTTTAAGGGCAGCAGGGACAACACCATAAGAGAGAGCAAACAAATATCTATAAAAGCCAGCAAAAACAACACCAGTGGTAAAGGTACAAGTTACCCAATAATATGCAGTAATACAAAGAAGATTCATCGAAGACTTCTTAAACCATAAAATACATCATAAATAGTCTGCAATATAAAATACAAAAAACTACAATAGTGAAGTAGGTGGGGACACCAAGTAAAGTGGAACCATAAGTTGCACTCACAAAGGTAAATGATAAATAGGCAAAACATATCGTTTTGATGGAATTTTTCTATCTTCTTTGATTCCAGGTATACATATAGGTCAGCCCATCAATATCCAATTTGTCCACAGGGATAGCTGCAGATTCTCCCAGAACAGGATCAAATATAAGGCTACCAACAATATAGAACATAATAAAACAAACGGTCACTAGGTCCTTCTTTCACCCTATGCGTTTCGTCCGTCCTTGGACTTTGTCAGGGGGTTCCCAGCGTCTGTATACCTTAAGTAGATCACCTCCATCTTTAAAATGCTTTTTTGGCGCCATTTCGCATGGTTATAGACCAGTCCGAAGCGTCCGTTGTTTAGACACACATATTTCGAATTTCCTTGATTACTTCCAGGTTTGGAGCGTCTCAAGCCTCGTTCTTGTATGGACGCACCGTCAAATTTTGGCGAGATGCATGCGCAACTCTTGTGCATTCCAATATGCATTTCACTACAATTTTTTGCACAAAAGAGCAAAATCCACATAAAAGAGTCCTCGACATAAGGGGAAAATATAAAAAGATACATGGAGGGGAAATAAGTGCAAGATTCAGTACTAATGATAGTAAGCATACTGAATACAATACCCATATAAAAATGTATATATTAAAATTAAAAGTTCAAAGGTAATGTATAAGCAAACCCCATATACTAGAGAATAAATGTATAGATGTGTCCCCATTGTGTGTAATCACAATAAATATTTATAGATATCAATAAATAGCAAATATAAAAACATAACATAACACATATATATATATATATATATATATATATATGAAATTTAGTTTTAAAATGTGTTTATTAATTAGTAAAAAAAAAAACCTAATGTAAAATAAAATAAAATAATTTAATTAAAGGGACCATCCAAACAACCAATTAAAAAGCAACATAGACACATTTTGGGACAAAGAGAGGGTTTAGGGGTCACAAAATGCAAAATATATGAAAATGTACATTTAAACCCTCTGACTGCATAGTTTTCAAAGTATAAATCCAAAAACCCTCTCTCTGTCTTAATCTCATAATTAAATCACCTCCCCATTCATCCAGTGACACATGTTCTATACCAACACATGAAAGGTTTTTAAAATTAAAATTAGAGCATTAGTTGAAATGTACAGGCACTGAATGGGTGTTAGGTTTTTTTCCTTATGTTGTTATGATATTCTAAAAATCTCCTCTTCAGTGGTCTACCTGTCCTCCCCATATATTTTGCGCACCACAACCACAAGTCAATAAGTAGACTACATGAGTGGAAGTGCAAGAAATGTGTTGTTTAAAATTAAAAGACTTCCCCGTTTGATTACTTTTAAAAGTAAGCATCTTCTTGGACTCTTAATTACAACTCTTACACTTGCCACAAGTAAAAAAAAAAAATTGTTATTAGTGGATTCTTTCCAGAAGAGAGAGAGCAGATGATGATGTGTGTTAAGGAAGGCACAAGACAAGAGGATATAGAGAGATCTGATAAGGTGAGACTTGGTTGTACTCCATATAAGGTAAACCGTTGACCAAAAATTTTTAATGTGATCTTTAAGCAGGCAACTGAGGTGTCATAATTATCTAGTTGTTATCAGTACTAGTCTTTAAGGTTCATTACTTTTCTACCTATGTCTGACTGCTTGATAATAATGAACAAGTTTTTCTCCTATGCTTTTAGAGCTCATAATTCACCTGCTGGCCAGTTCATAGACTAATGTAACATAATACATCTAGTAAATTTAATTGGGTCTTCCCCTCCTAGTTTTGAAAGATATATATGTTTGGGGAAAAAAAATCATAATTGGGAGGAACACAATCATCATGCTAAGTATATAAGATTAAAATCGAAGCATGTCCTTTCTGCCACTTCATACTCCACAACAGATGTCAAATCACCAATGGCATGTTCAGAACTAAAAGAATATTTACTATAGTTCTGATAAAGTTCATTTTCTGTACCTAAAATATTCTTATTTATGGATCAAAATATTTTCTACAAAACAGCTAACAAAAACAGAGTAATTTCATTAACACATTTCCATGCAACTTTCAGGTACTGACAGAAACCTTAAAGATTCTCCTCCCGATTATACGTTTGTTACCATATTCTGTATACCATATCTTGTTATTCTAATTATGAAATGTAGTACTATTAACAGCTACTTAAGGTTATGCCTTTTTAACCTGAAAGGTACACATTTTTTATGCTGAAAATTCAATTGAGGATATCCTATTCAAAACTGATAAAAAAGCACCATGATTACACTTATTACATGCAAAAAGATAAAAAGAGCACATAGAAATACAACAGCATGCCCCTCCATCCTCGAAATAGTCCGTTATATCAATAAAAGAAATTAGAAAGTTGTAATGTTAATAACTATTAACAGTGATTAACTGACAAATATATATATATATATATATATATGTGTTCCGAAAAGAGTGAACTTGAAGGACTTAATAAGTTTTAAAGATGTGCTTTATTCATCTTACAAATATCATACAGTGTCGACGTTTCAGTCAACCCAGCCTTTTTTCATGAAAAAAGTCTGAGTGGACTGAAACATCGACACTGTATGATATTTGTAAACACTTTGACAGTACGAAACACGAAACAGGCAGAAATCCATGACATAGAGATTTCTTAACAATCATATCTTCAAAATAATCTTTATTTACACACAGAAAAATACTTCAAATAAAGGTACTGGAACTAGATGTAAAAAAAAAATAAAATAAGGTACTCTGTCCTTACCTTAAAAAAAAAGTATAAATCATCCCATACCTTTTCATCAATGAACATATCCAATTTTTTTAAAGAAACATGGCATTAAAACAACAACTTTTTGGTAGATATGCCACCAAAGACAATATGTATGTAATTTGTTTTGCATGTTTCCTTCCTTTGTAAAATCTTGATTTGAAATAGCTTACTGTGGCTGTCCAATCAGAATTGTGCATGAGCTGTTTCACATCTCACTGAAAGGTTATAGCAAGGACAGTGCTCTGGACAGTTGCCTGCCTGTTGAGTTTATCTCCATGGGGCTAAACTAAGAGGAAGTAAACGTTTATTGATAAAAGTGCTGATTACATTGAAAATCAGCACTTTTCTAAAATCAAAAAATGATTTTATTTTTTTTTAGTGTTTGGGGTGCCCTTTTAATATCACCATAAAAATGCAGAAATTAACATTATTATTGAGTTCATGGCTAACAAGTAGATATATTCATAAAATACTAAGTACACAAAATTATGCATACATATTCAATCGCCGTTAAGCAGGATTCTATGAATGTATATGTCTCTTAATATGCATAAAAATCATATACTGTTATGGAAGCAATTTACTTTACAATTTTTGTTGTCTAATTCTGCTTGTATTTAGTGAACCTATGTCCTTGTTATTGTTTTATGTTGTTTGGTTTGTAATAAAATTATAAATGTTAAATTTTCCAGTTCCAACATGGCCAAATCAAATTTAAAAATATGTGATTTACTTTATAAAATATTTTGACTTATTAATAGCTTGCCAGGGAGCTGGCACAAATCCATTATAAACTAGGCACCATTTTTGATCATACATAATTCAACTTGGACAGATAATACATTAAAGGGACAGACCAAAGTAACCACAAGGAGCCCAGTACAAACATATATTCACTTACCAAATCTATTAACACCTGGCAAAGTTTGCAAATGCCAGACACTGTGTGCGTCTATTCCTTCTAAGAGAGAACCATTGGATTAACAGCTTCTTTAAGAGAAGCACTGGATTGGCAAATGGTGGAAAATTGCTATGCATGTATCATGGATACTTAATGCTTCTGATTAGACACACATTTTTCTGGAGTTTTCTGCGGTGAAGATACTGTCCCAAAACTGACTTTCATGTAATTTTAGGGACATTTTAAATGGTATTTTTAAAGGGGGTCCAATAATATAATGTAATATAACATAGCATCATGAAGAAGGTAAATGAGATGATGGACAAATACCAAATGCTGAAAGAGGAACTAGAAATGAAAAGTACAGGCAATAGTAGTCCAGATGTGAAAGGAGCACTCAGTCCTTTAATGCCCAAGTTTGGAGAGTGGCTTCCAGGTGGTATAACTGAGATCTCTGTTTAGAACATTGCAGTTCTAAGACCAGGTAAGCTACTGTAAATGACCTGCAGACTCTTAGGCCTCTGGTAGTGGACCCAAGAATGAGAAATATACAAAACAAAATGCCACCCAGTGGGGTGAGAAAATCAATATATATATATATATATATATATATATATATTTTTAATATATATATATATATATGGCATTTTGTTTTGTATATTTGTATTGTGTATATATATATATATATATATATATATATATAAGTCCCAGGTCCCAGCACTCAATGCTCCCGGTCTTTTAATGCTATGGTGCTGTCTCCAACCAAATTGTATACAATACCAGTAGAGAGCACTCAGGAGTCTTTCAAGGTAAATGTCATCTGTTGCTTTATTGAGCAATTACAAATTCACACAATGTTCCAGTCGACATTTCAGTCTGTAAAATACTTTTTTCAAGACAATTGTGTATGTGAGATGGATACCTTATATACAAAAAATGCAGTGATCCTATTTGGAGGTGAACAGGTGAAATCAGAGTGATGTCATTAATGACGGAAACATGTTTGAAGTGTAATAAATTGAAGTTAACCCTATGTGTAACCGGTATGTGAAACATACTCTCGTGTAGATAAGTCAGAAAGTAATAAAAGATAAATAACTATAAAAATAAAGTATATACAAATGTTTCAACCCTAACCAAGGGAACATAGATACATAGAACATATCGTCATTAGCTAAATATTAACTCAGTTATATAACAAAATATTGTCAGTGTAATTTTGAAGCATTATACGATATGGACTAGTTTCAACATGGAGTTACTGCATCTCAGGCAATCGCTTGAGCTATACTTTGTTTTCTAAATCAACGAATAGGAACACTATTTTGCATGAAAATTTTCATCTCAGGAAATCTCTTGGGCTATACTTTGTTTTCTAAATCAACAGATAGGAACACTATTCTGCATTCAACAAGTTTCCATCCTAGAAAACTAAAAGAGTCACTGCCTATCTCCCAATTCATAAGAGTATTGCGCAATAACTCAGATGACAGCCGGGCGAAGATACAGATTCAGGACAAAGAGGATATTCAAAAACGGTTTTGAATGTGGCATACACAAAGGCAATAGAATCAATTGCAGAAAACAGGATTCATCAAGACATCGGGGATCGATTCATTTTCCCTCAGGCATTTCATCCAAAGTTCTAAAAACTCAGAGATACCATTCAAAAAAATTGGCACGTTCTATACAATGACTCATCCCTGCCTCTTGTATTTAAAAAACATCCCATTATGAGTTACAGAAAAGGGAAAAATCTAAGAGACTATTTGATGCACACAGATATAGTGTCCACAACACAATCATTACAGAAAGTGACAACAGCAGGATGTTTTCGCTGTTTGAACTGTCTGGTGTGCAATTCTATGATACCGGGCAAAACCTTCTGTCATCCAAAATCTGGAAAGGCGTACACAATTAAACACCGGATTATGTGCAGGACCACACATGTTGTGTATAGAATTATATGCCCCTGTGGTCTCACTTACGTGGACAAGACATCTAATGACCTAAGGGAACACATGCAGGGTCACAGGTCTACTATACGTTCAGCACTACTGAGCGGCACTGCAAGCACTCCAGTCACCCGGCATTTCCTTGAGATGGGACATAGCCTGCCCTCACTTTGTTTTATGGGAATAGATCACATACCCATCTCACCCAGAGGAGGAGATTGTGATAACCTGTTACTCAGACGCGAGGCTTTCTGGATATACACGTTGGAAACATTATCACCATCTGGTTTAAATGAGAACTCATTATATTGTTTTTTACCTAGAAGATAATATATGATTGAGCTATGTTTTACAGAATGCATTAATATAGTGCAGTTATTTGCCGTAACTCCATGATGGAAGTAGTCCATATCGTATAATGCTTCAAAATTACACTGACAATATTTTGCTATATAACTGAGTTAATATTTAGCTAATGACAATATGTTCTATGTATCTATGTTCCCTTGGTTAGTGTTGAAACATTTGTATATACTTTATTTTTATAGTTATTTATCTTTTATTACTTTCTGACTTATCTACACGAGACTATGTTTCACATACCGGTTACACATAGGGTTAACTTCAATTTATTACACACTTCAAACATGTTTACATCATTAATGGCATCACTCTGATCCGTTGTTACATTTCACCTGTTCACCTCCAAATAGGCTCACTGCATTTTTTGTATATAAGGTATCCATCTCACATACACAATTGTCTTGAAAAAAGTCTTTTACAGACTAAAACGTCAACTGGAACGTTGTGTGAATTTGTAATTGCTCAATAAAGCAACAGATGAAATTTACCTTGAAAGACTCCTGAGTGCTCTCTACTGGTATCGTATATATATACATATATATATATATATATATATATATATATGTATGTTAAACTGCAAGGCATTGTTTCAAACCTAGCATGTGTTCTGTCCAATCGTAGCACTAAAAAAACCAATGAATTTACCCAAAGTATTCATGGAACCTGTCAAAGGCAAAAGGCCATAGGTATTTTCATAATGTCCCATGTATGCCTAATCACTTGATATTGGCAGATTTTCAATAAAATCCTGTTAATTACCTTTTTGTATATCTCAATGCTTTTGGTCAACGAAAACATACAAGGAAAAGAATGAAATAAATATTGGCAGAACATTTCAACATAAAACACAATGGGTTAACATAGAATAATAGTCGACGCATAAGTATTGGAAATAATAAAAATGATAGATAACAATATAGAGTAATAGATTAGATTTATAAAATAAAATATAATATAATATAAAATCAGACTATTAAACTTGAACTGTGAGGCAAGGAAATATCAATTAAAATTGGTTTTAGAATTAGTTGTTATCTTGTTCCCATTTATTTAAGAGCTAATTAAATTGAAAAAACATTTGGGAAATCAGTTTAACAATGTATTATATTATGCTAATACTGAAATTGTTTTGATAAACATAAAACAAATCCTTAAGGGGACCTGTCACTTTCCAAGATTTTTAATATATATTTTACTCATCCCCTATTTATTGCAAATATATGTGTGTATGGTCTGAAAATAGCATGAATGTAGAAATACACACTAATGCATTTCCAAGTATCCTAGAATTAGAGTGTCTCTAACCAAGACGATTTTTAAAATATGCCACTTCTGTCATGGAGTAAAGATAGTCAAAGAGGAAAAAGCAGAAGCTGTCATTTTTTTTCCCTCATTTACATTGTGTGCCTTGTCTGTGCCTGGGCTGATCTGGATTGTGATAACACTTGCTAAATTTTCCATATATATTTTTCATAAGAAAATAATTTAACATAAGTGATGGATGATTTTCAGTGTTGTAGTGTAATTTACAGATAGATGACAGTTCCTCTTTAAAGACAAAGAAAACAAAACAACAGATCACTATTACCTATAGATGGGATAAAAAATATTCCAAAAATATTTATTTAGAATTGCAAACCATCCTGAAGACCAAATCTTCACATAAGCTTTCCAAGTAGAAGATGCAACACAATATTGCAGTATACTGATCACCCGCATCCAAATATTTTCTGGACATGGCATCTCTTCCAAACTCACCATAGGACTGAGCATCCAAATATAATGAAACTGAAATCAAGAAAGGAAGTTGGCAATATTATATTTCATTCTATGGATATATTTTTAATTGAGCCCTAATTGAAAGCATAACATTTAGATAAAATTGATATAAAATCGCTTGACCTTTTGAGTAAGCCATTACTGTGTAATACTGAAATTTAGAACTCAATGACTAGAACCAATCTCAGAAAAAGATATAAAGCGTTTTATAAAATTAAGAGACATTCGAAAATCATTATGCCACATTCTAATTCAAATGTATAAAATTGTGTTTTGCAACTAAAACTACCAAATACATCATTATACAGATGAAGATCAGAATTAAACATCATATTCCATTGTTCAGCTTCAACCCATTTAAGTAGTTCCAAACTTTCCCATTATCCTTAAATGTTTTGTCAACCACGTAAAGTGACATTCCTCTTTTTATTACTTCCATAGCCAAAGAAGACATCTAAAGAACACCCAACCTGTCCTTAAAGGACCGGCAAGTAAGCCATTGCTTATCCTTTACAGGCTTCATGTTTAAAAACATAATTTGTTTAGCTTAAGAAAATTTTAGTAAATACATTATATACTCTTGACATTGAATCATATTTGTTGTGTAAATATTTCAGGGTCATGCATAGACACTTTCTCTCAGCTGCATGAGGACTGTGAATCAGGATTTTGCACGACAAATGATTTCCAAAGAATTACACAGGATAAATAATTAGACAAGCTAACACATCAAACATGCATCCAAAAATGGTGTACACAATTTAAACTTAAATTTGGCACATGCTAACTTTCTAAAAATAATTAACATAAAAAAGTAATGAAACACACCGTGATAAGGAATCTTGATATATAATATTAAATATAAAAATCTAATATAAGTTTAGTCTTAGGGTAAACCAAGTTTGAAGCAGACTTAAATGTTGCAAAACAAATATATAACATGAACTTGAAGCACAACAACAACAGCAGCATTAATTTATTATCCACATGTAAGTATTTAACCTGTAAAAGACTTGCCCTGGAATTAATAACATACCTAATATTACTTTACAAAGTACACTGCTGGATAACTAACATTGGCCCTAAAACAAACAGTTGCAAAACAAACAAACAGAGCAAAAATTAATAGCAATATATATCACATGTTAAATGTCTCACAAACATCAGAAAATAAATAAATAAAAGATCAACTGGCCACATACAGTCCTAGTCAACCCATTCCTTCAAATAAACAAACAAACAGAAAAAAAAGATAATTTGCATAAGTTCTGGAGAGGGGCCGTAATGAGTTTGCATGGAAGAAAATAAACAGAGAATTCCTAAACGCCATTGTGAACAGTCTGACACAATTGCATTTCCAAACACCAGCATGGATGAGACCCTTGAGCTCACCTTCACTGTATATAGGTTTGTTTTTGAGGACAATAAGATATATAATGAGCTTGAGAAACTCACAGACATCTGACCCACAGAAGAAAGATTCCAGGCACTAGTCCAAAATTAAGAATGAAGGTGTAGAAAAAAATTCTAAATCTAATTTTGTCTACATGGATAGGATCCAAACCCTCCTGGTCAACTAAAAGAAAGTGTAACTCCTGCACCTTAAAATGTCAATATATTATTAACCCTACTTACCATCACGTGATATGCAACACATTTTACGTGAGCATTTATTTGTTAATTTAAGTATCAGTTTAAGAGGTGCAATGTAATGCATTTATCTTTTCTTGGCCCATTGGTTACACAATTTATTGCAGAAAACAAACTAAAGTTGGTGGATACCATACAGAAAAAAAAATATTGTGTTTCAATACTGGCTTAGATCACCTTAAAAATATGTCATTCTGTATGCCACTATATGCCATTACACAAACTAAGCCAATAGATGCCCAAAAGGCAAATTAGGTTTTATTCACCAAAGGTGAGTGATGGTGAACTGAAAATCAAATTGCAAAATTCAAGTGAAGAATGCAAAGCGGTGATTATAACTGAGTACAGTTGAGTTGTACCCACTATGAGAGCTCAGTCTGTGGTGATTCCTCTTGGGGAGAAGATGGATTCATTTTATTGTGAAGTATTTTTTTTTTCTTTGTTTGTTTATTTTAAAGAGTTTTGCCAGTTGTTCTGGATTTTATTTTGACTTTTTTTTCCAGGCTAAATATAAAAAGAATCAAAAGAAAGACTTCATAGGTGTAGGTATATATATTTTTTATATATATAATAAAGTAAAAATTATACTATCATAGGTGTAGGTATAATTTTTACTTTATTATATTTAATATATAATATATTATACCTACACCTATGAAGTCTTATTATATTTTAGTGGTAGTGGTTAGGGGATTGGGAGCCCCTAGCAACCTTGGGGGTGGTGAAGGGGAGAAGGATATGTCCCTATTTGGCAGGGGGTGGGCTAAAGCATATCCACTGCCCCATTGTTTAATTAATTAGAGCTGTCAATGGATGGGATTGAGAGGGGGACACTAGGTCACCTCCCATGATTATTGTAACTACACCCAATTGGTTTTCCCCAACAAACTAGGTCTTCCCCACTAAATATTATAATATCACCCAGCTACTAGCCATGAGTGGGGGCAGAGGGTTGGACTGTGGTCTGTCCACCTACACCTGTCACATAGTTATTTAAAAGTCCCCCAACCAGATGGCCATAGGTGGGAGCGCAGCATGCTGCTCATTATTTCAAGTTAGTAGACATGCCTATTGCAGGTGTGAACAGAGGGAGGTTTTAAACCTCTTTTATGTTAATTGTGCTTTTAATATGGAGTCCTAATAGGCTTTTATTTACACTATTTAATGTTGTGCCTGGCTTGTGAGCACTGGTCAGCCACAACATAATTAACCCTCTCACTGCTGAGGCTTTTAACTTTTTGCCTGCTGTCTACTTAGTGTTACCAGGGTCAAATAGTTTAGATATTTGTTTAAATCCTGGCCCTTTTAAGCATTTGAACCAGATTTCAGCCATCTGACGGCGTTCTGAACTGCTGAAATCTGGACAAAGTTCAGGCCAATTTGGGCCCTGAATTACAAAATCTGAACATTGTTAAATAGTGTGAACAACATCCAGATTTTACAGTCCCAATGACCCCATACACAACCGGCTGGTTGTGCCCCATTCGTTACAGGGCTTAGCAACGCTGTTAGTGGCTTATCCCTACACATCAATCAATTTATTGTCTATCACCTTTTCTTTATGAACCCAAAGACAGAACTCTGAATCACAAATCAAATGAAATGGTTCATCCATTACCTGTTTTGTTTGTTTTATGATTTGTCCCTATAGCATTTTGTAGTTTGATATTTCAAATAAAGCGTCAATCGCCAAAAATTCTGCACAAGTCTACTTATTAGGCATTCATAAGATGATACACAATACAGTCGATATTGTCACAGCCTTCAAACTGTCTGCTAATTATTTCATTTTTTTATTCACTGTACTTTTTTATAGTCACATAGATTTCATGTGTCTATGTTCGATATTCTTTTTGTTTTGCATTCTGTTATAAAATTGCTAATGCAAAAAAAAATTATAAAAAATTGCTACAGCAATACATCTACACAGATTTAATTCTATACCTAAGTCAAAGGATTTAGAAAGTATACTCAAAGGAGCCAATAATAACAAAAGCAGCAAGTGTGATTTGCTGGACTAAGAAAAAAACATATCCGACAAAATAAGCATAATAAACAAAATATTATAATACAAATATGTTCTAGTCTACTGGAAATGGTATTGCAGCAAAGTAAAAGTTATTAAAAGTCTTCAATATATATTGTAGCATTTAATGGTAAAATTTTATTTATTTATATGGAGTATAAAGGTAGACGACCAAGAGATATAGTGCTAGAAATATTTTTACAAGTGTGACTATGTTACTAATGTTTATTGAAATCACAAAAACTTAAATCAAGGGTTGCTCAATTCAATCACATTGAACCGTTCATTTCACATTTAATTCAATGACCAATTGATGTCAACAATCCCAGTGAATTCAATGGGAAATTAAATGGAACAGCTCACTCAATAATATTGGTTCCTTCAGTTTTGTTGCAGAGCTATAACCTCTGAGTCATCACTGTAGATTTCGTATTTGACATAGACATCAGATTATATCAATGTATTTTCTCTTTCTTTCCCTTGGTTCATTTTATGGAAATTGTGGCAGTTGTGAAAGAGTTACAATTCAAAAGATGTTTTTTTATGGACAGAAGAAGATGGCTCAATGAGTACTAAAAGCCTTTCTATACTCACAGTATCCACAAAGCATAAAAAAGCCAGCTTAAGCCAGATTGAATTAATCTTTAAAAAACAATATTGATACAAACTGACTGTTAAGCTTTGCATTTATTTATTTATTTATAAAATATTTTACCAGGGTGGATTTGCTTCTTGGTAGCTGTCTAAGAGAACTATGATAAAAATATCACTGCCAGTTCATTGCAAATAGTTAAATACAAAATAAAGATATATTTGAAAACTGACCCCAAGATTACAAAAAGAAGCTGTTCTTGTTCCATCTTGTTGGTTTTAAGTATGGCGCAAATCTAATGTAATAAGCGCTTAACCCCTTTCATAAAGGGAGTTGTTTTTTTATATGTTCCCCTATATGAAAGTATGGGATAGGGCTGGCTTCCCTAAACTCGGACCCTCCATATCTTGCCACATTACAACTCCCTTGATTCTCAGCCTATTTCATTCATAGATTCATGGGAGTTGTAGTTCAGCAACATCTGAAGGGCCGGAGTTTGGGGAAGCCTGTGCTAGGGGGTCCCCATTATCCTATCTGTCAATTGCCTCCAATCTTAACTTCATTATCAGATACATGCCCAGTTTTTTTTACTACTAAACAGTTGCAATGAGGTACTCAGTATTTATGGTAAAAGCCACAAATTTCAACTGCAGATGTCCTCCCCCCAGAGAAAAAGTAATTTTTTTTTTTTTTCTTACCAAATTAACTTTTTCAAAATATACCCACATAGCCTCATCTTTGGCATATGGGGAAAAAAATCATGAAAAACAAAATACCTATAGTACTCTACACTCTGTGTTCATAACAAATACCTCACCCCACATATAAAAGCTTAGCCTGCCTTATAGTTTATCGCGTACGTAAGGTGTCTACACTTTTTAATATATTTATTCTTAGTTATACCTCCTTTTCTCACAAAGAAGTTTCCTTATTGGACATACTCTGAGTAGGTACTTAATTCAGCCAATGAGAGATCAGATTGAGTTGAGTTGATGATGTGACTCAACCCACCACAATCACTATCTTCTAATTCGTCTCTTTCCTCCTAAGTATAGCTTTTATATAGTGGATAACCCTCAGCACTTTAGATGTGGACTACATATCCCATGATGCTTGGCCAGCATTATGGGTGTAATATACTATGCAATGTACTATACAGTTAAGAAGAGGACAGTGATTGACACATCGATTTCTCTTTTGCTAAGCTACACTGTTTATCTTCTAATCACAAAAGGCATTTTGTGAAAAGGGAGGCATTATTAAAGGGTCAGATAGGCTTCAGACAGCTACAAAACCTTTTTCTTAGCAAAACTAAAGAGATTTGAACAGGGAGAAGAACCACAGCCCAACTGTGGACCTATACTATTGATAATAGTCCATTACATTTTTTTTTTAAAACAATGTTTGGCATGAACTTTGAGTTGCTCTTGCAAAACACTCACCATTTAACATTAGAGAAATAAATGTACATACTTCAATTTGATTCACGAAATTGTTGTATTTGTCAGTAGAAATTCAGTCAAATGAATTGAGATTGAACAAAATTTTGGGTGATCAGCAATTAGTCTGAAATGCTGAATTCCAATGAATTGTGAAACAAACAAAATGGACAATGGATGAACTGTTAGTCTCGTTTTTTCATTTTAAGTTCCATCAGTGGTGCAAAAAAACACAAAAGATGACTCATGTACAAAAGATGATTGGAGATTAAGTTTCTTCACAGATCAAATAAGAAGTGACCAGTTAAAAAAAATCCATATAATATGACCAGTAGAACCTCCCCAAAAAATATAGATATATTGCCTGTTTACATCTAAAAGGCAACAGCGCATCTTTTTCGGAAATCAAATCCATACAAAATAAGCAGTATAAACAAAAAAATATATATATATATACATATATATATATATATATATATATATATATAAAATTTCTGAAGTACACCGACTTTCCAATTTCCGCATCCTTTTGATTTGTTCAAAACATTTTTCCTCAAATGATTGTATGGACAGAATTTATCAAACCAAAACACCACATTGAGGAATTCCAAATCACCTAAAGCAATTTTTTTTCCGAGGAAAACATTTCAACAAACCATGCACAAGTCTAATAATCAGCTGTCTTTGAATAGTGAGACTTTTGGTGGAGGTGATTTAATAGTTAACCCCTTCTAGATAGACCTTGCTGTTTATTGTATATAACAGACATTTTATACATTTCTTCTTTTATGTAAATACATTGTTGTGTATTCACTTGCATTGTTGTGGTTATATTCTTGTTCCCAGTTTGACTGTTAACTTCATTTTATGGCATCACTTAGATGCATATACTTGTAGATCGTTTATGATTCGCTTACTAGTACAATTATTTGTGGGAACGAATCAGTTCTCCATTTTTATGACATTAGGCAAGTGGTAAATGTAGTTAACTATGTAATCAAGATGTACTGGTATATGTATATTGTTCATCATCATGATGCTCGGAGTGAGCATCTATACAACTGTGTCAATTTGTATTTGCCAATTTCCATGGCCAACACAAGGCATTGAGAGCCATGGGTCCATATATGGTGCTTATTGTGCTCAGCTCAGTAAATCCCCAGCGCAAGATGGTTCTAGCACCATATTTTTCTGGCATGCTTACCTATTCATAAAGCCCAGCAATATTGCCTTAATTCATCTACCCAATTTATCACTTCATAGTTACATCCCTTCCCAGCATTATCCTCCACAGTGGATATCCTCCAAGCCACACATTGTTATTGTACATCTCACACCAGACACATAACCCCCCAGCGCTTCTCCCCCACAGCCATATATCCAACGGTGCAGCTCATGCTCCAGTCACATGTCCTATACTGCATTCCCCCGCAGCCACATGCCCCAAGTTGCATCTCCCCACAGCATATCCCTCATAATGTATCTCCCCAGCTAGATATCTCCAAACAGATACAGTGTACATATCCTCCAGCCTTATCCATATAAATATGGACTTTCACTAAGCATATTAGAAACTTAAACTACACTGCATAAGAATATATATATATATATATATATATATATATATAGTGCTTCAATTATTTATTTTGGGGATTCAGGGAACTTTTTCTAGCTAACACTTTGTGGTGCTCAGATGGTGATGCTATCAGTTTGATGCCTCTTGGCTCAGTGAAGGTCATAGAGACTGCTCCATTTTAATTATCTATCTAATATTCCAATAATTCACATACACTATACTGCCATACAATCACTCTATACCCCCGATACACACTACACACACACTATTCCCCCTATACACACAGTGCATCCCTATACACATTCACTATAACCTGGACACATACTATATCCTAGGACCTTGAGGTTGTCAGCCATCCTGTGTCTTTCGTCACAAGTCACAATTAAATCAGAAACTGGTTTACAGACTTCTCAATTGTAGTGAAGTGTTTAAAAGGTTGTTTTACTAACATACATTAGATGCAAATAATACAATAAATATACTGTAATGAACGACCCGGGACTATAGTCAATCATGAACAGAAATCCCATTAACCAAGTTTGACATTTGATAAATCTAGTTCAATTCAATAGAACTTGGTTTGTAGCCAGTGAAATAAAAAACAAAACCCTCCTTATTCCCTAAAGAACAAACATAATAACAATGAAGCACTGTATAAAAATACGGACTTTCCACCAGTCCATGAACTAAGTAAGCTTTATAGTTCAAATAAAATCTAGATACTGATATACACTGATATTATATCTGCTGCATAGTATTATTATTTAAAACCCTATGTTAACATAGAAATTTTCAAGATCAACCTCAAACCCTCATAGATTGTAAACTCATTTGAGCAGGGCTTTTTTTCGCTTTCAAATATCCCCATTGTACAAATTGTAAAGCCCTGCAGAATATATAGGTGCCATATAAATACTTATAATAATTATAGTCTAGTCCGCATGTCAATGCAATAAAAAGTTCTGCCTCCACCCATAAAACATAGAAATTACCTATTGAATTAATCATTTTATATTCTGCCCCCCAAAAAAATATTTGACATCTAACAGGAAAGAGCGTGTCTTTATTTATCTTGAATAATACTATACATGCTGTACGTAGGTGAACTGTTTATAATAAAAATGTATAGGATAAAATTCCTTCCAAAGCAAATTGATATATTCATAATAAATGGATTTTAAATTGTAAAGCAAATCATATAAAAAAATGAATGAAAAACAACAAGTTCAGTTAGATTTGATTTAATACATATATCTTTCTGATGACATTATGCAAGTGATTGAAGATGCTATCTTATATCAATGTCACAGCAACATCCTCGGATTGAATTAAGAAGACCTCTGTTACATAAACTGTATCCAGCCTGATGAACCTCATTTAAAGCAATTTGATAAAATTATTTACATAGAATCCATTTAGAGTAGCAATTTAAAAATATATGCTACTTATATAATAGATACTAATAAGTAAATATATAAATATAGTATGTGTATATATATACATACATACATGTTTATACACACTATAAGCCTTCTTGACATTGCTTTCTCAGTGAGACCATAGAGTTATTTGATTGGCACATGGTTGCATAATACACAATACTAGGAGAATCATTTGATTGGACAAAATAGTTATCAAGCCTGATGACCGAACTAGACTACTAAGCAGACGCTGTCAAAGACGAAGGGCTAAAAATTAGACATTAAATCAACCCCCAAAGTGTTCTGTTATGTTTCCTGGATAGTGAGTTAGTAAACAATATACAAAAGTAAATGGCCCATTGCACTCAGGGAGGACGAAGCCTTTATTTATTGGCAGTTCTACACTGAGAAAGGAATCACAAGTACCTCAGAATGTATCAGAAAAATGATGGACATAGGCAACATAATCTCATTAAAAAGGAAAGTTTTCAATTGCAATGTTTCAGCTATCAAAAAACTTTGACTCCTTAACCCCTTAAGGACCAAACTTCTGGAATGAAAGGGAATCATGACATGTCACACATGTCATGTGTCCTTAAGGGGTTAAGGACCACATCTACAACTCCTTAAGGACCACATCCACAACCCTTACAATTGTGTCCCTATAAACCCTATGCCATCATAAGATGGTTTGCTTATTTTGCATTTGTAGCTTTACTCAGCCCTGTGTTAATTAAATGAGTGAGGTATTTAAATGTAATATAGTTGTTTTTTTTTAAAATGCTGTCTGGTTATAACATATACTTGCATAAGTTATCCAATTTATTTATTTACATAATTCATCCAATTTATCCAATACTCTTTATATTAAGGCATTGTAATAGTCAGAATGTTGTAATTTTATAGGGACTATCTGCTTCCAAATACACCCCTTCTATTTCACTAGCATGCTTCAATCATTTCTGTTTAGAGATTTAGAAAATGTCTGATATGGGGCAAAGAGTAACCCATTTAACCCCTTAGTCAGTGCTGTATTCAGGAGTGATTGCATAACTAATATTTTTATTGATTGCATTATTAATAATGCTAAATATAAAATTAAATGGTTAGCTTTTAAATGTGGTTGTAGGTTGACATAATTTGATCAGTCAAAAAAGTAGTAAATACATTTTCACAAATTTAAGTATTGATATCACATTCCTAATTTGACAATACCAACAAGATGATTAACACTTTGAAAATATTAAATTAGTAAGTATTAACTAGTAAAGTATTATATAAAATTTCTGAGAGAACCTATGCCAAATGCATATCAGCCTACCAGCCTACCTATTATATGGTTCCTAGGGGGAGCTTTGCCAGTGATGTCCTTAACGGGTCAGTCTGTCCAGAAAAGATTTGCCCTCTGCAAGGGCATTTGGCCATCTCCCAACCTATAAGACCATGCAGAGAGTGCTGCTGAAGCACTCTCTGCATGATCTTAGCGCTCATTTATAGTGGCAAGCATGTAATGATGTTCATGCTGTGCTGCCTGAGGACAGTTCCCTGGTGTCCATGGATGCAGGACACCAGGGAACCAATTGGGACAGCAGGGAAGGATCCTGGAATTGGGACTGTCCTGCTGAAATTGAGACTGTTGGAAGGTCTGTATTAATATCAATCTTCAAAAAAGAAATGTGCTGAATGTCTTGTGCAAATGAGATACAGACAATAGTAATTTCAGTCTTGTTTGGGACTCATCATTAAGGTGTAGCTGTTGCCACTCTGAACAAAGTGAGTTCTCAGTACATCAAGGGGGGCTCTTTACCTCCCAACAAGTGAATGCATAAGCATAAACAAAACAAAACAAAATGTAGCCCCAATTGCCTTATTTACATTGCTCTTTGCTTTATGCTTTTTGTCCGCCCAACAAAAACAAATTTCTCAGCCACTGCATTATTCCACTACTCCACTTTTCACAAAAGAGATACTCAACTCATCATTTGCTTTATAAAGTGGAGGAATGGATCTAAACACCATCACAATACTATAAAAAATATTTGCAATCTATAATAGCTGTTTGAAATTCCTTCTATAATGCCATCAGATTCCTTATAGTCCATATGTAAGTTAAAAAAAGACTAATTCTATGCTATGTGGAATATTAAAAAGATAAGCATGCTGTATAATTTTTACAATTTTTGCCATCAAGAATTCTGTAAATGTTGAATGAATAATTGAAAAAAAAAATACAATTGTTAACATTTACATAATTAAATGATTAGCTACCTTGAACAACAATCAACATACCAAACAAATACCATATCTTTCTAAAAGAACTGAGTAGTAAAGGTATGTATACAGCCATTCTAATCACATTGTATACATAGGCAGCAGAAATCAGACACCAGTTTAGTACCATATAAAAATTAGATATTTTTTTTAATTCCAATTTAAAAATCAAACCAAGAACAAAAAAGTTTATTACATATAGTTACATTACATTATTCACATGTTCAGCCTATCTCCACTTGAGAAATCTGCTTTTTGTACATTGCCTGTACATTATCAAGACAAAGACATAAACTAGCAGCACAAAGTACACATATTATTTAACGATAGTACAAATATGGAGGTGCCCAGCAAATGTAAGAGTGGGAAAAATTTAACACTGCAATTACATGGTATATTTAATTCCAATTACAGTTCCCTGTTTTTATACAGGCAGCATATTTAGAATAATGTATTTAAAGGGAAACTCCAAGCACTGTAACCACTGCAGTTTGCTGTAGTGGTTATGGTCCAAGTAGTGCCATGGCAGCCCACATTACAAGTAGTTAAGCCATTTTAGAAACAGGAGCTTCCATTAGTTCTACTGAGCTGAGTCTTGCAATGAAGGGCTAGCTCATTGGTTGAGTGCATCAACTGATTGCTTAGCTCAGAGAGTTAGAGAGAGAGCTTCTAGCCCTCTATCATCAGTAGTGGGGGCAGGGAACAGGACTCAGTGGCCATTACGCAAGAAGTCAAACTGTTCTAAAACAATAGGCGAAGGGGGTACCAGGGTATGTGTCTGGCAACATAACCTCTACAACGAGGGCTTGAATTGTTCCTCTAATATTTTGTGCTTACAGTTTGAGAATTTAACTTTCCAAAAACAAGTTCCGATATTGACACATCTCCATTAGAAATGTATTTCTAAAACTTTATTGAGATTACACTACTTCTGTTTGTTCTAAAATTGATATTTGACTTTCTGTGCTATTTGTACCTAATCACATTTTGTTCTCATTTTAAAAGATTGTACGTTACTTGTTACCATAAAACACAGGTCCTGGAGATTTATGTCTTTATTTGAATTTGCATTTCATATCTATTTTAAGTGTTGAGTAATTATCTAATTAGTATGAAAAGGACAAACTACCTAAAACAAATTGAAAAATAAAATATATCACAGTAATACATTGATGATAAAGCAAAATTATAGCATTTTATATAAATTGATGCACACGTGATATTTAAATCTATTAAAGGGTCACTTATGTGTGTGGCTGGATTATTTTGAGACTAATTGGTCTCAATTTTCTAAATCCATCTTGGACTGGAAAATAAACATTGCCAATATCCCTTATCTGCAAGTATACAGTTGAAAAAAAATCTGCAATCACAAATCTGTCTCTGATCTCCATTCACTGCTACCTGGTACTAGATATTATGTGGTTAATATCCTTACATATAAAGCATAAATATTAATCACATACAACCTATGTTACACTTCAAAAGCTTTATTCAACATGAAACAGAGCTATGTGCTTCTGTGGAAACTCAACACAGTCAATCAATCAATACAATACAATACAATACAATGAAAGGAAAAAATAAAGTGCAATATGGTCTCTTGTTTTAAGAAAATATGTAACATTTGGAAAGAACGGTCAATTAAAGTGAGGAGGACTCAATTTCTTCACTTTGGGCCGAGAGAGGGGTGTGGCTTTGGACTTATCAATTTTCTACTTTGTATTTAAACAAGTGTGTTGGAGGGGGAAGGGACACGATGCATTGACAAAGGGATTACCCCAAAATCTTTGTTGTATGTCCTTCAAATAAATGGTAGTTGCACTCTGTTTTGTGCACACAGTAACTGTTTGTGCAGTCTCTATTTCTTTCTATTTTGCTTTGTGGATCTATATGTACTGCCTGAGCCACAGTAGGGGGGCTTTATGCTGCATACTGAGTACTGTTTTGTTTTTTCTTATGGATTTTTTTCTGGAGTTTCCCCCAGTTCCTCATATTCTTTCTTTTTTTTGTGGGGCCACCAATGCCTGGTGAACTTGGTACAATTGCAAAAAATAAAAATAAAAAAATAAATAAAAATATATATATATATATATATATATATAAATAATGTGTAGAAAAAGTAATACCTGGAAAATACAATTCTCTTAAAAGCAAACAAAAAATGTTCTCAACACTACTTATTACAGCTTGTAAAACATTGCCTTTCATTTTCACCCAGTGTTGCATGAGTAAATGGAAAGGGTGTTTTGCATGTCTAGTTGGTTGTTCTAGTTATCTGGGTTAAGCAAACGAAAGGATACTTAGAATTGATTTTGCTTGACATAGGGTTTTCAGATATAATTCAGGCAGTGTGGGAAATTTCAGTCATTACACCAACCAAGTCAACTTTAAAATAACACATTTTAAATAATGATTGGGTTACACTAAATTTGCATGGTGGTTATACTTGCCAAAATAAACTAAATGTCTTTGTGACCCATATGGTTCTTAAAAGTTACTCACATAAAACGTCAGTTCTAATTGGTAAATAGTCCATTTTGTTCAATTGTCTGATGAAAACTAGGCCAGTAACACTGAATTAAAATTCTCAAACAAACATATACAGTTTTGTTAATATTTCAACTCTGTGCCCCCACAAATCAGTGTTTAGTAAACAGACATCACACTTAGATACATTCAGCCAATTCATATAATAAATACTTAATTTAGGAATATCTTGCTAACAGGGTTGGCTTATGATAGTACTTCTTCGTTCACATGGTTATTCAAGTTACATGGTTGTAGGATTCATATGGACATACAGAATACATTCAGAAGGAAAAACTAACCTGTTCTTGTTATACTAAAGTTCATGTAATAATAATAAGAAGAAGACTAACAACAATAAAGAATATAAAGCACAGCTGAATTCCAATAAAATGAACTTGCCGACACATATAAAAATCCCATGCCATTTTCGAAAGTCAAAAACAAATCACTAATCCCATGATGCTAAAAACGAATAGACACAAGACACAATTAATGATGTACAAATTCTCTAATAATTTGTTGGTAAATAGAAAACATGTTTTGTTTCTTTTTTTTTTTTTATGCAACAATTCTATTCAGTAAATTGGGAGTTGAGAATCAACTGATAAAATAAAATAAACTCTGAAATTGCCAAATGAGAAAAAAAAAATAGACAAATTCAACAGAGTTTCAGGTGTTTTTCCAAGCTATTCTAAAACACTCTAACTCAGTTCTCAGCATACCTCAACTCTTTAAAGAATAATCCTTGATTATTATTATGTAAAAATGTTACAAAAACAGATTATCAAAATCATACGTGTCCAAGCATTTCATAAATAGATTTTTCCAATAATGACAACCATAGCCTTACCCTACTCAGGCATTCATGTTGTACTGAATTAACAATCAATACCATCAATTTTTTATTTCATAACTCCCTGGATTTTCAATGAAAATTTAAATAATAGTAAATTCTAGAACCAGAGAAATACATATTTGTTAATGGTATGGAATTATATATATATATATAAAAGGATAACAATCAGACAGATCAGTTCATTCGAGGACAATGAGCAATATTTACACTTGCTTTTTTTTTCTCAGAACACCAAGTGCAATACATACAGTAGTCAAGAACTGATCCAACTGCATGAAATGTAGACTATTATTGATAACCATGCTACTGTGTAATCTTTAAAGGCAACAGTAATTATTAAAACATAATTACTTAATTGCCCTTGGTTTGAACTTAACATTGGATATTCATATATATGCATACACACATTTAGATTTAATTATTTGCTTTCACAGGAAAATCAATGTACAATGCTGCATAGTACATGGCAACAATCCCATTGAAAAGAATGGAATAAGTGTAAACAATAACCATTTTTAATACCAATGACATCAAATCCATGGAAAAGCCCTGGGAAGTGCTTCAACTGTTGGAATTATCTGTTGTGTTAAACGCATGTAAGAATTACTTCTTAAAACCTGACCAGGTTACATCATTGCAGAATTTTAAATAAAACCTGTATTTGTATTACTCAACTATTTTTGAGAATATCATGGAAAAGACTAATTTCCCTAATTTTAGATGGATGCTTATGAATATGAAATAAAATCAAAAAGGCACTACACAGGATGACATTGACTTTAATGGAGCCTTGGTAAGTTTATATGTCCATTTGTCTGTCTTGTCGCCCACTCCCCTTTTTTATTGAAAATCTGTCCACCTTATCCTTTAAGTTCTTGAGTGTATGTGAAAGGCTTGGAATTGTGAACAGTTTTGCAGATCTGAAATACATTACTGAAAGAGTTGAGTTACCGAACTTGTTCAGACACCAATTTTCTTTTATGTTTATTATGAGGTACAATCTAGTGATGCGGGAAAACCATCTGTGAGATGCAGATAATTATGGTAAGCCAAATATTACAATATATTGAGTTAAACAAGTTGAATAAAACAAGCAAAAAAAAAATCAATGATTGAACAATTTCAATAAGTGTATTGGGAAATAATCTACATGTCAGTATTTGTGCAATATAATGCCAAAGTTCAGCAGTAAAATTATCATTTATCATGACCACTGCCAGTCATATCATTTATAAAGGTAAGGCTTGTGCATTCATTATTGATTTTTTACTTTCTGTATTTTTTTTTAAGAAAACCCTTCATAATTGAGATTAAACAGACAAGAATTCCTCTGTCTGTCAACACAACATACAATCACACCAAACCAAAAATGTTGCACATTAATTACGCACAAATAAAATATTTTAAGACCCCCTACATAAAGCTACAGATGAAAAAATAGATTAATTCATTACATGTGCACAAAGAATAATCTCCCTACACAGTAAAATAAAACAACGTTTAAGCCAAAACATATCTCCTTTAATACAAAATTTCCATTCTCAAAGAATAAATTTATATCCACTTAATAAATAGAATTTTTCACCAACCAGGGGTGTACTTTTATAGAAGTAAATACTTTCTTGCATTCTATTTTGTTTTTGCTTTTTAATTAAAATATATAAACATAATGATGTTTGCATTATACCTTGATATGGAAAATGAGCACTCTGCTTGTTGTGTACAGCACCAGGAACACTAGGGATTGCACTTAAACTTATTTGTAAAATAAATGCATCGATGTAATGCATGCATGAAATTCATGAATTTATATTATAATCAGGAGCATCTGACCTTGCACTTTGATTTTTTTAAAAAGCGCATGCTATCTATTTATATCAGTGTTGAATGCAGTCATAAACACTATACAGTGAATATTAAATTTCTAGAACATAATGAATGACCGTGACGCCAATAAAATTAATCCAGCCTTTGGACTGCTATTGTATTCAAAGGTTATGGCAATTAGGATCAAATAGCAGGGACTTTGCTTAAGGGAAATTATATGTTCTTCAATATATACTTGAAAAAAAAAAAAAAAAATAGAAAAAATAACAGCAGCAATAAATCCCCTTATATTAAATTAAAGTATTGTTCCATTTTGGGATGTGGCTGTTGCTTTAAGATCTCCACTGCTTATCATTGCTTGTTTCAATAGCAAATTCGTGAGAAAGATCTTAATTTCGAAGAGATCTTGTCTATGTATACACAAAGGTGCATAAAAGGTTAAAAAAAACAACTGAATACTTGAATACTATGAAAAACAACTAAAGAAATGTAGGATTTTAAGCAAAACAGGAAAATACAGCTGCACAATATGAAATGCACATACATGTATGTACGAATCATAATGTGATTATAGCTTCACACAAAATATATAAATATATTAGTGTAATATAATACATAATTTGTAGGGAATATGAGGTTGCAGCAAGCAAAAACACAAAACACTTATTTTATTCCTTAAAACATTCGGTGTTAAGTTTCTCTGTATTGATGTAAGGCATTAGTGACGTCTGATGGTTTACATTCAATGTACAGTAATGATTTAATTAGGGACTTATATTAAACAGAGAATTAAACAGAGGGAAAAAGAAGTGTGGATGGCTGCAGTACTGGTGAACACAGAGCTCTTAAACTGGAAATCTGGTGCGGAAGGTACAATTTTTAGTCTGAAGCTCCCCCTGCTGTTCACTTGTATTAATATAGTCAGATAAAACATACACCTTCAAACTTTGAAGCTTTGAATCAGATTTTCTTTGGGATCATCTAGGTTTTGTCATATATATTTATATTTATCCTCTTTCTCTTCAATAATATAGGTTGTATAAGAATAATATATTTAATATGCACAGGAAAGAACACTACCAATTATGTATTTTCTAATATTTTTTGCAGCTTTTCTTTATTAGGCCATGTGAGGTAGTGTCTCTCAATAATTAAATAAAGGGGATGCATGAAAGCATTTGTTTTTCCTGGGTTTAAACAAATGTACTGTTGTACTGGGCTTTGTCAATTATAATATATTTGAATTTTGTTTAAAATATCATTCAGAGCAATACGTAAAGGTCTATCACATTATTAACTCTTCACTACTTGGGAGCCTACAAAATCTAAAAAGTGCTGCTGTTTCCCCAAAATACAAAAAAAAATATATATATCTCAGCATCAACATATCTCAAGAGGATTCATAACATTTTGCTTTGTGTCTACATGTTGAACTGATTTCAACAAATGTGTTTTCAGTGTTGCTCAATACTATTGGTGGGTAATAGGCTTGGCATAGCTAAAATTCATCATCGAGCCTTTTCTTTTTTTTTTGTATATATAGATATTTATATATATATATTTGTATATGTATGTATCATTTTAAATTATTTTATTAGGAAAGCTATACCAGACGCATATTCACTATACATTGATTAAACATTACCTTTACAATTAATATTCACTGAAGTTACAGAATAAATATATGCACATTTTGTAAAATCTTTGTGTATGGGGGTAGGCTGAGGACTAAGGAAGGGGGGTTTGAAGAAGACATTAAAAGTGCTTCCTACAAAGCTGTTAGTGATACATACCCAGTAGCATTTCTAAAGAAAGTGCAGTGAACTGCAGAAAATCTTGGCGTCATCATGATTTCACAAAGATGTTGATCCCTAGCTGTCTTGTGAACATTGATTGCTTTTCTGCATTGAAACATGGGGTAAATCAAATAAACATTGAACAATAAAGCATTGCAGTAACTCCAGGGTTTTGTTGGTTGTATTGTAGAAACAAAAATTGATGGATCATAAATGTTTTGGGTGAGAACATTCGAGCATTACCCTCCCCTGCAGTTTTTAGACATGCAGCAAACTGCATCAATATACAGGAACTGTGCCATGGGCGTTTCTTTTTATAAGGAAGCCACAATGCCGTTCTATTCCCCCCAAGTGAAAAGATTTAAGTTACTGCCAAGAAAGGACACGTGGAATTAGTTATTAGGATCAGTACAAATACCCCCATACCTTACATGGCACAGTCAAGTTTCTTAGATTCCTATATAAAAAATAATGATTGATAACATTGCTGGCAAAAGTCTGCGAAGGCACTTTGATTAATTAAATTTAGAGTATGGCCCTTTCCTCCAAAACAATTTGGGGAGCACAACGGTATCATCTTGAATCATGCGTTTTTGGGCACTATGAAATGATGCTATATTAGAATCTATAAGTGTTTTTTTCCAGGACTTCGAGGTAATCTGGCTTAGTTTGGAGTTTGGCCCTTAACTCAAGGTATTCACTTTGGGTTTGGTCTGAGAACCCTTTTCCAGCAGAGAAAAGAAGGGTTTCTTTTAGTCTGGCATCCTGTTGTAAGTCAGGGTATTGCATGCCAGGAGGGTGTACGTGCAGTTCCTTTAATTTGGGCACTGTGCCGTACAAGCAGTCCACAAACCCCACTGTTGGAGCAGGCCTTTCTCGATCCATTACACCAGGAAATATCATTCCATTTTCATGAAAACTTGGTACTTCCCCAGACTGGTTTACAGTAACTATTGTGTTTAGCTGGGAGTTTGACACTGCCATGGTCCACTCTTTTTCTTTTTCTATTAAGGTCCTATAATTAGTGTTGTTTTCCTTTGTCTCTGAAAACTCCTCACCCATTTCTTCCTCTCTGGGTTTGTAGATAGGATTGTTGCACATCTGGGTTACTGGATGTGGGATGTAATCATAAACATGGCCAGGGGCCTTCTCTGGGGAGTTGTTTGGTCTGTCCTCAAAGATTCTGCACTGCATCTGAATGCCAGTCAAATCCACCTCTTGTCTCTTTCTGAAAGGCTGTTTCTTACGTCTTCTCAGCACGAAAGCAAAAAGGCCTGCAGCCACAAAAACAGCAGAGAAAAACAGGATTAAAAGACTCAGGATCAGAACAGAAAGTGGAATGGCACCCCCTGGTGTGGTAAACTCAAATACTGAGGAACTTGTGGGCACCATATTACCAGGCAGAGCAGGTGAGGCGGCAGTAGCATGCAGCAGTTCTGGACACAACACACCTATTTCAATTGATTTTAGATCCTTATTTGTCAGGTTCTCTGGGCTGGCACACAAGACCTCCCCCACTACAATGACAGAGCTAGTAGTGTCTATCCAATGTTTTAGAGGAATAATATCGCAGGAGCAATCCCACGGATTCTGATTGAGATCTATCTGCACAATGGCATTAAGGTGCTCCAATACTCCCGTCACAGGAAGGTATAGAAAATGGTTGTTTCTCAGGTTGAGTCTGGCCAGAGATGTGCCCGCAAAAGCATCTGTGGGAAGTGTTCTCAGCAAATTGTCATTGAGAAACAGTAATTTCAAATTTGGCATCAGACTGAAAGCGGCAGGTTGTATTTCCCTTATCACATTGTACTCAAAATACAAATAATGCAAACTCTGCAAGCCTCTAAACATGCCAGGTGTCAATCTTTCAATATCATTCCCATTCATATACAAACTTTTTAAACCTGGTAGACTCATGAAAGCTCCGTCCTGTACATATGATATACGGTTATTTCCAAGGTGCAATAAATCCAAAGAAGAAAAATTCCAAAAGTCGGATCTATAGATTTTTTGTATTACATTTCCACTCAAATACAGTTTCTTGGCATTGAGTGGTCTAGGAAGAAGTTCTGAAATGTTATGGAACCCTCTTTCCTTGCAATTTACAGTCAATCCCAAGTCATTGATATGCAAACTACAGGAACATCCAGTGGGGCATATAATTGGAATAGGTGGCCTTGTCTGGTATCCAGCTATTGGAGGTTGGTTTGGGCCTGGGTAAAGGCCTCTGGGTGTGGGTGGTGGCTTTGGGACTCTAGGCTGTCTGGTGGTTGTTGGTTGTTTATTGGCTGTCTTGTATTCCACAGAGGAAGCAGTAACATGAAATGAGGATAACATTGATGACGGTTTAGTGGGCCATGTATTTTCTTTACTGGATGGTAACTGGGGTATCCCCAAGCTTGCTTCCACTTCACTTTCAGACAATAAGGGACAGAGCTTACTACGTTTTATATCCCTTAGATCCTTGCCATGAAAGTGAAACGGGCTTTCACACGTTATATCTCCCACCAGGACAGTATATGGTATACGTTCCAGCCAGCTCTTCAACTGGACAATCTCACAGGTGCAGTTCCAGGGATTTTCAGCTAGCTGGATCTCCATAATGCTCCTTCCAATATGGTCCAACATACCTCTGTAAGAAAGGACCTTTAATCGGTTTCCACGCAAGTCCAAGTGTGTTAAAGACACAGACTTGAATAAATTGGTTGGAAGCAAAGGGATATGGTTATCATTTAAGATTAAAACTCTCAATTTATTTAAATTTCTGAAGGCCCCACTCTCGATCCTCTTAATGACATTATAATCAGCTTGCAGATATTCCAAGCTCTCTAACCCCATAAATGTGTCATTTCTAAAAATGTCCAATTTGTTCTCATGCAAATATAACCTCTTCAAAACTTTCATACCATTAAAGGCTCCTGCCTGAATGTCCTGCAAAGCATTGTTCCCAAGATTGATAGACACAGCATTGTTTAAGTGAAGAAAACTGTTGGTGTACAATCTTCTCATTGAATTTCTTTGAAGGTACAGTTTGAAAGGTCTTGTCCAGGATTCAGCAATCTGGCTAATATTTGTAAATCCTTTATTGTCACAATAAATGTGGAAAAGGCTTTCCTTTACTTCACAGTAGCAAGGATCAAAGCAAGGCTCATCTATTTCCTCTGAATCCTCAAGCAAAGGAATTGGTGTCGTCCATGCAAGAGCAATTGTGCTTAGAAGAATTAGCCACAACATCCGTCCTTTAAGACGAGTTTCTCTTGGAGATGGTTTCATTGCTGATTAATTAGCAAAGCTGAAAAATAAATACAAATTACACAGATTTGGTATTCTGCTCCCATTGCAAACATTTAACTCTTTGTACGTGATTGAGGGGGCGAACTTAGAACTGCAATATGATGCACAACTAAACCAGTTTGCACTCAAAGGGTTATTTAACAAGCTATGGGGTAGATAAAAGCGACTTAGTATGGGAAAATGACTCTTCATATGACCACCATTAGCATCAACAGTTTAAAATAAATGTTCTAATATGCAAATCTGCAATCTAGCATGTCTGCTTGCTTTATTGTACTGTATTACATAATTGGCACTTGATAAGCTACCCTCCCTACACACATCATTTTAACATACATATTGAGCATTCACACAAGAGAGGATACAAAACTGAATATCATAATCTCAAATCTTACCTTTTCCACTTGTCACAGACAGCAGTAATGATGGAAGAAATAAAATCAGCATATTCTATAACGTCTAATCATACCGGTTCAACAACATTCATATAAGGAGGAGAAAAAAACAGGAAAGCAAAAAGGTTAGCTATAATGAAGATCACATTTTTTGCTAGATAATAACAATTCCTTGATTTATATTTCCCGTAAAGATGTCTGTGTGGTCATAATATTTAATGGATTTGCAGTTTCCAAGCACACTAAGTAATTAATACTGCAGCTTTCATACCCTAAATACCCACAAATAGATTAAAGAATTTGCAGCTGATTAATCTACCCACACCACATGCCCATATGATCTCCAGATCTGTAGGGAAGCTAACAGTTATATGCTGCTGAGTCTGGGATGATCCGTGATTTAAATGCTCTGCCTGGCTTGCACTGGGAGTGAGGCTGATAGACCTCAGACATCCAGTGTAAGCATCTCAGAGCTGTCCACTGAGGAAAATACCTATACATTAACATTTACAAAGTCCCCAAGTGAGAAAAAGAAATATTCTTCTTTCTCATTAAAAAAATATTGCTGAACAAAGGGCATCCCCAACCGTATTAATGCCATGAACTTAATATTATAGTTCTACTGATGATGCTAAAAAATAAAAACCCACACAAAAAAACATGCAAAACACTGATGCATATAGCTGTAGTAGATATACCAGGGATATTATTAAGCTACTTTCATATTACTGCATTCTCAGTATGCCCCTAGCAGAAAGGTTATAATGATACACAAAAACAAACAAAATCTATTCTATTAACATTTTTCAAAGCTTGTCCTTGCAAATACATATCAGCAGTAGAAAAGACACTGAATAAGCCTTACATGCCAAAAGAAGAAAATCATTGCCTGAAATAATGATCAGAGGAATAAAGGCTGGGGTTTATGTTGCAGCAGCAGTATCATTTGAAAATATATATTTATATATCTGCAACTTCTATCTTATTTAATGCCCTTGACAAATATCATCCCTGAAAGTGCATAGAGATCCGATGGAAATATTTACTTACCAGTTTGCAGCAAAATATATAGCACATCCGGGGGGAAAAAAGGCTGAGTTTAAGGATTGCTGGTTCTCCCTCTCTGTCTTTCTTTTCCTATCTGCTTCTACTGAGGCTGAGGCAAAAAGCAAAAAAAAAAAAAAAAATGAGCTAGGGACGTGCTGGGAATATACAATGTGCAGTGTGCTGTGAGCTGCTTCTGTGTTTTCAAAGGGCTGCTTCAACATGCAGATCTGCCACTCAGTATGCTCAATGGAGCCAGAGAGGAATCTGCAGCCTCTCTGTCCAACACTGCCTGCTGAGGTCTTACTCACTAGCCCTCTCTTTCGTCTTTCCCCCTCTCCCACTTTCTTTTCCTCACCCCTCTATCCTCCTCCTCCCCCCTAGTCGTAGGCAACAGATCATTGGAAATTTGACACAAATCCAACAATCTTCACACTACTGCTTCGATTGTCGACATCCTGTTTATTCTCTTTCATCCTCTTCTCTAGCTCTACCTATTTGTGGTCTTTTCTTTTTTCTTCCTAATTCTCTCCTCCCTAGATGACAGCAGATAATTGGGAGACTCGATCATAGTCAAGAATCTTCACACCGTTTCTCTCTCTCTGTCTCCCTGTCTTCACCTGTCTCGTTTCGATTCCTCACTTGCCCCTCTATTGTTGCTAGGAAGGGTTACATCATATCTAAAAATCCAATTTGCTATATTATTTTACTGCTTATTATCTTTCCTTTTTCAGTTTATTCATTCTCGCCAATCTTTCAGTTTGTGTCCAGATCAATCTTTTCTCCACTTGGCATCATGAAAACTAGCTGGAAGAAGAGGAACAGATCAAAGGAGAGGGGGAGCGTTTGGGCTTATGACGTGAGCATACACTGGGAAGCCCAAGCATTTTTGTGGGTGTGTGGGGTATCCCGGGTGATCATCGCTGTTTCATAATACATATTATGTACAGCTTTAACTAGACCCTGGAAATAGAAGATGCACCAGACTCTTTCCATACAAAGTAGAAGTGAAGCTTAAGCTGTCAATTTTAACTGCAGCACATTTTATCTTTAAAACCAAACCAATAAACCATAAAACCAGAATTCCAGCACTTTATTTTCTCCTAAAATTATGAAAGACACTCAATATGATAGTGTATGTCGACTGTATGTTTTTCTTTAAAAAAATTAAATAATAAGAAAAATAAATATATAAATATTCTTGATCATGACCGCAGCAAACTGTGTGCTCATCAGTCGACTTTATTTTAACTTCTTCACTCTTTTAGTGTTTATTTTCAGTATGCACAACAATACTACTGTAGCACATCACTTACTAGATGGATATACACAAAACACACATACACACACACACACATACACACACAACAAGCACATATAATTTATGGATACAGACACACACACCTACAACATATATCTTTTTTATTATAATTTTACTTATGACACAAGCCTATATTGTGCTAGATTTATCGAGAAGATTGTCTATTATTTAAATAGAAGATTCCCTCTGTGACTAGACTTGAAAACACAAGGGAACAACATTGGTACATTTCTTTCAAACGTGACATTTGAAAGCGAACCCTTTCCATTGTTCTGCGACTGTGACAGAAGATACAATGTGATTGAATCATGCAAAGAGAAATGGTGTCAGCTTTATCCTAACGACTACAGACAACAGAGAGAAGGTAATTATATTGGGGATGGAAAAATAGAATGCTTGGACATTGATTTTCTTAAGCATAACTTATTCTAGAATTATTAACTTTCTAAGTGTTATAGCATAAGCATTACAAAACATTTTAAATAGTTGTTTTGTATTGGTATGAGAAATTCTGAAACTATTCCTGTAGAGTTATTTTCAGTGACTCACTAAAGGCATTAACATGCAATGTGGCATAAAATAAGAAATGAGATTTGTCATGGACTAGTGGGCTTGGTTTAGCAAAGAATGTATAAACCTACTCAGTTAAGGGGGAACAAAAAGACGACTGCGTAAACAATCTCCAATTGCAAACCAAATATCTGATTTAGAATGCTGTATTTTTGACATTTTCATAACATAGCCCAAGATTACCTACAATTTGGTAGGAGTGAGTGTCTGTGTGTGCATGGTCTCTTAATTAATAAACAACATGATCAATTCTATTTAAGATTTCATAGAAACTGTAAAACAGTTAGAACAACAACAACAACAACAACAAAAAGCAATGACAGCATCCAGCAAATGGTTTGTTGACAAGATCCCATCACCCTGAGACAACCTTTATGTTCATGCTCTGCTTGAACGTATCTCTGAACTTACACAGCATATAAACAGAATCCCCCCATCCACCCACATTTTGAATAGTAGAATAATAGTAATAATAAAATACATCTGAAATAGGCATACATCCCGTAAGTATGATGGAAGTATTGAAATTATTATTATTGGAAGTATTGCATTGTCTTTCTCAATCCTTATGTTTTTACTCACTTTAAAATATTTATTATGACTTAATTATGCCAACATCCAGATTTAGTCAAGTATTTGAACAAGAACATGTTGCATTAACTGTGATCAGTATACCATTATGCTGTCTGTCTGTCTGTTTGTCTTTCTAGTTTGCATGATGCTGTGTAATAAGATTATATATGTACAATGTTAGACACACACACACACACACACACACAGATATAAATATCTTTGTTTGTATACCTTTATTTGATGATTGGATGCCATATTTTCATACATAGCAATAGCTATGTACAGTTACCTTACAACTACATATCCAAGGACACTACAATCTAAAATGCTTCCATTTCCAAGGCTGCAGTGTTTGCTGTACTAAGTTCCCAATAGTGACTTCTACTGAGCTTCTTCTCCTACCTCTCCACAGCAGGTGCTGATTTGTGCATGTTTTTGATAGGATGCCAAAGTTGAAAAGCTCTATGCAGAGGCTAGCAGTAAAATGTGATTTGTGCCTGATCCAATCTCCTGCAGGCTCTTAGCATCATATAATGCCATATGGCAGAGACCCTATGCAAGGGCAGCTACAGCTTTGGTCTTTTCCAGAACCATGCAGTCTGTAAAATTACAGAAGGCAAATGACCTCTATATGATTATATTCTAAAACCTGCCATATCCATTCATGTTGTGCAGTTAAATCACAAAGCTAAAAATGACTATTATCAAGCATTGAGAGGGGATTGTCATAGAACAATTGTACACTGCATGCTAGAGAGGGCAGAGATGGGTTCATTCTAGGCATTTACGATATAGAAAAGGACCTTTTGACTGATTTGACATATGGATCACTTATTATCTTATAATTATAAACTACTATTTTTTTTTATTAGATATTGCAAATACATTTTTATATTCATACATAAGTCCAAAGGACGTCACTAAAGCTACCTGTTTAACTATTGTTACTGATTCTTGCATTGCTGTAAAGTAATATAATTCAAGGTCATCCATTGCTAGGAGGGATTCAAAACTATATGAATAATATTACAGCACACAAAGGGTAATTTTTCGACAGAGAAAATGCAAGACTATAACAAAATCATTGTAAAACAAAAAAATGTATGTCTCTTTTCTGCAGAAAACAGTCTACTAAAAGTATACTGATTTTGGAAAGATCTGAAAAACAATAATTATTTTTTTCAAAATATTGGCAGAGGATACTGCATTTTCTTATTTATTGCATGCATTTTAAGAGGCATGTTTACCATAAAAATCATAAATAAAGCAATACATTTATTTTGCATCAATAAGACAAAACTATTTATGTTACTTTTTTTTTTTACTATTTAGAGTCAAGTAAGTTATATTACCATTTATTGCACAGATTTATGTCATGCAATCAGTCATATGTATACTAAACATTAACAAGATCTTTCTTACTTAAACAAACCCTTTGAAAACTAATATATGGACCTGCGCCAAAAACAGTGTATTATTATATTTTAACTCAATATATATCAGATCAGTGGTTATTGGATTGCAAAGCAAAACATTGCTCATGTGCTCGTCTACCTGAGCTGCAGCTAGCTGTGCTGAATTGAAAACTGACTTGCAAAATCAAGGCCAAAATAGCAAAATTGCCAAAAGAAAAATCAAATTTTTTTTCTAAATCACATTTTTTTCTAGATGGTTTAATATGTCCTAAATGTTACAATTTGTATATTCCATTCTCCACAATTCACTGCTTATTGAATGAACCCACATTTTCTAATATCTTTAAAGTGTTTAATTTTAATACAAAAAAAGGATATTGTATTATGAAATCATTATTATTGGCGTGAAAATGATTAAACGAATGGGAAACAAATATAATATCACATATACTGTAGATCCTGTTCATATGATTCATGATGCAGTCGTGGTTTCCAGCAAGAGACATTAAACATTTATTAACTATGAATTTATTTTATCTATCTCAATACACCATGGAAAAGAATGAAAACCCTTGAAGCCATTTCACTTATATTGTACAATATATATCCAACCACCATTGCAGTGAAGCAACATAGAGAGTTAGGGTAGAAAACATGATGTTAATAGAAACAAAATTCAAACCCTAGTTTAGAAGTTGTTGGATCCTTTATGCAATAGCTAGTGCTATTCAGCTTTCTATAGTCTGGGCCTTGTCTCTTTTACGTTCACTTGCTGGGTGCCAGAACCTGCTAAGAAAATAAAGAATACAATAAAATCATGGCTATTTAGTCATATCAGAGGTCACACAGATCCTTTAATTTAGCCTTTAGGTTGCAAGCTGTATAGCCACCATGAAACTAATGGTGTGCACAGTTTGGTGTTATATTGATTTACTTGCATGCACATTATATTATATCACCAGAACACCATTGTGTTGTTATTACATGATAAGGTGTGACATATACGATGCCTGCACAATTGGCCACATAATTAAACACACAAATTACAATCATATGATCTGGTTACTTTTAAAGGAAATCAATGCTTTTTGTAACGCTCACTTAGGGGTCTCTCCAATAAATGCTTACTTTAATCACCATCATAACTTTGCACAGCATCAAAGTTAAAGGTTCATGGGTGATTCTTTCAAATTTGATAGAGGCTAAGAGCTGCAACAATTTGTGAAAATTGATGCAGCCCTAAAACTGCCTCTCAGAGCTGTTAGTCAGGCAAACCAAAACAAGAGTTCTGGACTGTCTGTAGTAATTATGTCCAAGTTCTGCATGCACCATGTGTGACTTGGGCCGATCTCTCTTTCTTCCCCTCAAGAGAGCTGAACCATGGATTGCACATGATGGTCAATGGTTCTTCAATGAAAGCAACACAGCCAATTAAAAAACCAGGAAATGTGTTTAACTGATACCAGTCACGTTATGGTTACTCTCAGTTTGCAGACTAGATCTACTCATTCTAAGCAAACACTTTCAATATTCCCTGGCCTTATCTTATAGGTAGGATAGCCCAATGCCTATCCCACGCATGCTTAAACTCCTTTACTGTGTTAACCTCTACCACTTCAGCTGGAAGGCTATTCAATGCATCCACTACCCTCTCTGTAAAGTAATACATGGAATGTGAAGGAAGATAAGAATTATTCGGCCCATCTAGTTTGCCCAATTTCCTAAACACTTTCATTAGTCCCTGGCCTTATCTTATAGGCCAGGGACTTCACTGTTTTAAACTCCCTCAATGTGTTAACCTCTACCACTTCAGCTGGAAGGCGATTCCATGCATCCACTACCCTCTCTGTAAAGTAATACTTCCATTTCTCTGCTAATATGTAATATTGTTATAGGTAAAATAATCCAGCATTGCAAATAAACATCAGAGACTTTTCATCTTCTGCCCACTACATCCTCTAAAGCCAAAAAAAAAAAAAATTAAAAAAAATTGCCACAAACCAAATCATAAAAAATATAATAAATAAATCCACGTAGGCAGTGATAAAAGCTAAAAAATATTTATACCCTGATTCGCACAATGTAGAGGCGTGGGAGATAAATTGGACCTTTTCAAATCAATGGGTAAAAAAGAAATAATAATATTACTAAAGTTTATCGCGTAACTAATAAGTAGATACTTTATTGCATGTCAAGAATGTATTTTTTTGTTACAATCCATTATTTAATATAAATGCAGTATACACTTATTAAATCTAGCATGCATTTTATCAGCTATAAAATAAGCAGGTGCAGCATTTACAATGTTACTGCTATTAGACATCCACAGCTGTAAGCCCTAGCCTACTGCAGTGCTACCAATATAATCAATCAACGCAGTAAGCAAAATCACAGCTCACTGGCTCATCACTTTAAACTCACCTAATTCAATGGTTATTCTGCTGCTAGTGATATCATCCTTTCCTAAATCCATATTTGCAATACATTGTAGTGACCTTTAAACCACACTTTTTAAAACATTTATGCTATAGAGGGTAATGTGGAGACATTTTTCATGTTAGGTATAGTCACAGCTTGTCTGTTTTAGCCAGCATTTTGTAATTTGCAGTTCTCTACAACTCACTGTTTACTGAATAAATAACACGGTTATTCATTAACAGGGGTATCCATTAAAGAAACACAAACGTTTTTCAGGAAGCGCTAGGAGCATCCTTTAACGGAGGTACCCAGTCGGGGTGCCAGGTGATCCGTTACACTGGTCCTCACCAGTGTTCTGTACAATGGCATGAGCACTTCCCTCTTTCTACTGCTAATACCTCTCCTTATACAACCAAGCATCTGCTAGCATTTCCTGCTGCTCTTTTACATTGATAGTAAAAATATGTACAAGGGATCAGCGTTAATATACTAGACCATACAGAAATAAATATAAAGCAGCACACCTGAAAAATAGGTCTCCCTCACAGGCCCTATAGAGTAGACAAAGCAAAAAAAGGTGGAGGAGGAGGCAGCACCACAGATGAAAAAAAACCTGATTATAAACTATACTAGCATATATACAAGACACTACATAAGAGAGAACACATATAAGATAAGAAAAAAAAATAGTTCAAAATATAGATAATGAATAACAATCATGAGTCCAAAAAGTAAGTCCAAAAGAGTCTATGATTGATAAATAAAGCAAAAAGTCCAAATAAAACCTTGTATAATAAGTAAAACACAATCTTGTCAGGGGAAGTATTCCTCAGTAAAGTATGGGCATGGTATATTTGTGAGATCCGTATGAAAATAATAAATAAAAACACAGCAAATAATGGTGCAGTATATCCCAACAGGTACTAAGTACTGTTATATTAGAGGTCCATATGGTCCTACTCATGTTTTCCAGAGCTATAAGACTAGCTCTAGTGTGGATGGTACAATCCCCATTTATGGGATACGTGAAGTTTTGCAGTAGATGGATATATTGTTGGTATAAGAACCATATGAAATAAAAAAGAAACAATAATAGTGCTTATTGTATAAAAGCCAGAGGTGAAATAATAAAATACCAAGTGGATAGTCACATGTTATTGAGCAGGCAGACTGCTCAATGGATACAGCTTGAGTGGTATAATCCCCACCAAGGATTCTTAGGAGTAAAATTCTCACTGGAACAATAAAAACTCTGGTGCCAGGTAAAAATAAAGGTAAAAATAAATAAAAGAGTAAAATGGCAGACTCACACGTTAAAAGTGGCCAAAATCCTTTGAGAAGCTCAAGAGCGTTCCCCCCTCACCACAAGGGATTACTTTGGCTACTTACAGATACGCATCTTTAAGAATAATAAGGAGGTACGAGAGGCCGCTAATATCCCATTAACTTTTTTTGAAAAAATGTGCTTCCATGAAACACTACCCAAGGTTCTTATATCCCTATTATATAACCACATCAGTGCAGAATCTAACAAATGGGGCAATCTCAGATATACCGACCAATGGGAGACCGACCTGGGAGAGGTGATAGAGGGAGAGGAGTGGCAGGACATATGGGAGGCGTGCGCACAATCATCCATCTGTGTCACCCTACAGGAACAATCCTTCAAAACGTTATTTCGCTGGTACACCACCCCGGTCAAGCAGCTTCACATGAAACTAAGTCCCAATGACTCTTGTTGGCACGGTTGCAGCGCAAAGGGTACATACATACACATGTGGTGGGGGTACATG